CCCCAAAACCCCAAAACCCCAAAACCCCAAAACCCCGGAGAAAAGAAAGATGGTTGAAGTATTGTAGATCAAGAAATCAATAACACATTTTTAAAACCTCACTCTACTAAACTGAATCTGAAACTCGCCTCCTTTGATCATAAAAGGCTTGCCATTCATCTGCTTGAACACCAAAATCTGTTTCTGTCCCGGCTTAAGCCCTATCTGTATATTCACGCTCTTATTGACAACGCCTCCATCCAGGCTCCCACTCTTGCCTGCATAAGTCCCTAGCACAGTCATGTTCTTGCACTCGTACTCGTTGTAAAATTCTAGGTTATAGCTGTCACTGTTGTTCTCGAGGAAGAGGACGTAGCCCAGGTCGAGCCTTGTGCACATCCTGATTTGGATCTAGAGAGAGGGTGAGGAGGGAAGGTACCTTCTCTAACTCATCTACTTGTCTCTTACAATCCGGTACCAAGTTAGACACTGATAGAGGGACTATTTTGGAATATTTCTGTGTGCATGACTGAAGGGATCTTTTCAAAAATCTGTCTGAGTTCATTCTAGAAGTATTAAATTAGGTGTACTTCATAGCCAAAAGAAGATTTAAACTAACAACTTTAGCGTTATGATTAGCTTATAATTACTTCTTGGAGGAGATATCTTTGAATTATAGAGTCAATAGTTATAGCATAACCGAAATATTCATAATTATTAACAAGAGATTTGCAGCAATTTTAAATATGTACACTCTAAAGAACCTCAGAAAATCTCTGAAGTTACTAGATTTATAAATCTGAAGCTGGTAAAGGCTTGCGTATTGAGATCTATCTTCAAAATGTTCATGATTCAATAAGCGACTAAATATTCTACCTTCACTTCTTTATGCAAACGCATCCAAATTTCATGGATGATATTGAAATGAGTTATGTTGGAAATTACTTCCAGAAATTTAAATTTGAAAATAGTAATGAACCACATGCTGCTGACAAATCTATGATGAATACTTGTAATCTTTCTGGATTTACGTACCTTATCTCACGTAACGTTACTGGAATTTGTGAAGAAACTGTTGATATTGAAAAGTTCACGATCTTTTGAATAGTTTCAGTAGCTTGGCCTACAAAAATTCATTAAAAATTTACTGAAATCTTCCTCGATATCATATTTAGCAGTACTAGGTTTAAGGAGTACTTGAGTTTCTACTGCGATTCTATATCATTCTTAGAACTAGAGTCCTCGAGATTAATGGATCATAAGCTTACACATAGGTTCCTGGTGTTAATAAATGGTGCTTTCCAAGTCTATTGTTTTTGACTTGGCAATATCCATCGACGAATTCATAATCATGCAGATCCTTAATTTTACCAGTCTTTATTAAGAATTGAACAGTATCATCATGCTTAAGCATTTCTAGACGGTAAGAAATATGAAATACTTGGATCTATTTTTGAAGAATCAACCATTTTAGCCAAATCTTCTGGTGATTTCCTTACTTTCTTAGCCTACAATTGATTATTTATTGAAGAAATACCAGAATGTACATTCATGGAGCTAGTTTACTGAGCTTTGTTAGTCTAGAGTAATTAGTATAAATTTTACACATCCTTAGAGTTGTCATGCAAGGTCTTGTTAATGATGTTAATAAACACACTTCCTCTTGTAATCATCTTGAATTCGAAGAAAATATGATGAAAACCCATATCAACTGGGACTTTCCTGATGACTTCAGTCTATAAATTAAGATATTTTGATTTACCTGGTAAATCTTGCAATTCTTTGGGTTATAAATCGAACTAAAAATGCATTGTGCAGGAGCCACTTCATTAGGCATTGCTGAGGTAATTGTTGAACTTCTTCTTATAAGGCTTTCGTCTCGGTCTTCCTTCAGCATTTCTTTAAAATTCTCCCATGAAATATTCTTCTGGCTTGCGGATACAATATCAGCTATACTGATTGCTTTTTCGTTGCATTTAAGAATAATATAGTAGTTATCTTTGATCTTAAGGATCACGCTGTGAAGAGCCCTTCACAAGTTAATAATACTACTCTTACTTCCCTTAATAATGAGCTTTTCAATAGGGGTTCCTATATAATCATCCAAAAGACCCAGTTGAGACTCTAAGAATGCAGGCCCATAAACTGTCTTTAATAGTTGCCCCAAAGTCTGATTCTCAAGTTCAGCATAGCTGCCATAAACTTTAGCAAGAGCCTTTATGACAAAAGAAGACCACAAATAATGAGTGAGTGCTTCGTCATGATAAATTGGTTGCTCATTCTCATCAACAACAATGTATGTGTCAAGCAACATATCAATCCTATTTCCATCGACATAGACAGCAACTGTCAAAAATTTAGGATAATTCTTAGTTTGCGGTAAACGGATCATTGAAGCTAAGTGTGTAATATCTTTAGAAAGCAGGTTCAATAAGACTATAATGTGCTGAGAAGTGTTATCTTCAAAATCTATCTCAAAGTCTCTATCTTGAGGGAAGATTTTGAAACGCTTTTGGGAGATCTCGTCTGGAGATAACCATCCATATTCTCCGTACTCGAGGTTCATTTCATCATCACAAATAGATTCTAATATTGGAAGAAAATCTGGGTCTTTAAAGTCTATTTTGAAATTGAGACTTTGAACTTACCTTCTTCTTTATTCATCTCCAAAATAATATTAAAGGGTGTGCACGTAAGAGGCATTTTTGATGAATATACCTCCTCCACTTCAATTGCCACATCATTGTTAAAGGAAATCTTAAGATATTTATTTTGGTGTAAGATAGAGATAACCTCTACCATTTTTGACGCCCTTATCATAGACTCAATCTAGATACTTGGTGTCTTGAAAATAAACTCTAAACTTTCCATTTCTGACAGTCTCAGAATACATTCCTCTCGCTTGAACTTCCCTTAGATTCCTATTACCAATTTCATGGAGTAAAATATCATCTGGGCCTGTAGTAGAAGTGGCGAACCCTTCAAGGGTCCCATTTAACCATTCTCCAGTAAGATACGTCAGATTCTTAAAGTATAGACTCCCTTTGCCTTCCTTTTTGCCTTTGTAAAACTCGCCTTGGAAGTAATTTCCACTTCTGTATCTTTCCATGCCGGAGCCATGAAATTTGTTGGTATCCCATTCGCCTTCGTAACTTTCGCAGCCGCCTACTTCATAAATAATTTTTCCTTTGCCGTGTCTTCAGCTTTGCATGCCGTTCTCTGTAGGGATGTAGCAATAGTCACCGATGTATCTCTCACCGTCTTCAGTGAGTTCATCGGCTTTTCCTTGCTTGTGTCCGTTCCTCCAGTCTCCTTTGTAGTAAGAGTGCGTTGCACTGATGAATTCGCCGTAGCCGTGGTACCTAGAGATGATGAGGGTCCTTACTTATCGTCAGCCCATTGGCCTGTGTACCGATCCCCATTCTCAAACACCATACTACCTTGTCCATGCTTGGAGTCCTGATGCCACTCGCCTTCATAATAACTTTTCTTAGAATACACCATTGTTCCCTATCAAATCACCAAGAAGCCTACCTTTCCTTGCTTTTTAAATTTGACCATGTAGCCTAAGTAATAGGAATCCTTGGAGTACTCCCTTCTCTCGAATTTTGCTCCATTTTGTTTTAAACTTGCTGGTTTGGACATTTGCAGGATTTTAAATTTTTATTTTTAGTTGTGGGGTTTTGGGGTTTTGGGGTTTTGGGGTTTTGGGG